TGTTGCTTTGTATGTCCCTCCCCCACAGTATAACCCCTGCTTTCACTATATTTGATGTCAGTATAACTTGTGGAGGAGATGGGGAAAAACCAGTTGTTCAAGGACACAGGTGGACCTCTTGCAACAATGAGAAGTACAAGTTGTCATGTCCAAAATGAGCTTTACAACGTCGGTGCGGTGCGGGGGTAGGGTGGGGAAGGAGAAGGATTGAGATTGGGGGGTAGGGGGGAGACTGGGAAGGGTAAACAAAAGGAGGAGGCTGCAATGCTTGGTAAGAAATGTACGCATTATCCTGTCCATGTAATTGTAACCCCTCTGTACAGTATGTTCACAAATAAAATTTAAAAAAAAGAAATGTACTCATTACCTTGCTCATGTAACTGTAACCCCTCCTTTGTACAGTATTCTCACAATAAAAATATTATTTAAGAAAAAAAGAAAAAAAAGAGTCACATATAGTGTCCTGCCCTGGGTGGCTTTGAACCATGATCCTCAGATTTCAGCCTTCTGAGTAGCTAGGATGACAGGAGTAGGCCAACAGCACACGGCTAGGTTTGTGTCTTTTAAAGTCTAAATTATACCTGGGAAAAACATATTTACATTTCTTGTCTGGCTTGTTTTCCTTCCCAAGATGTATGATGAATTCCAGTTCCATCCAGGCTTTGTTCTTCATGGAAAATTGTTGTTTTTTAGTAGAACAGACAAATATATGAGATAGAAAGGCGTAGACAGCAATAGAAAGTATATTAAAAATTTGGAGCTATTTGGTGGTGGGGAATTGATATACAACATAAAGCTGACAGTATTTTCTGGATCTGTATATACCTGCCCGAACTGTAAAGCAGTGACCTGGCTCTACCCTGTGACTGTCAGCTAGGAAGGAGAGCTGGCCCGACCCAGTTATAAACCAACACTGCATAGAGATGACACTTCACCAACCACCTGAAAGTTCAGGGTGGAAAACTGTCCCAAGCAAATGGGAACTGACCTGCAAGAAAGCCCCAGTTGTTTGTCCCACGAGAGCAAGAGAGACATCAAACCCAAGCTAGGTTGATGAGATAAAGACTGTCACCCTCTGCTGACAGCGAGCCAACACATAGATGCCTACTGCTGCCCCAGTTTCATGAACTAGTAGTACTGGATGCCATGGACCCGTAAGTCCAGACCAAGTTAGAATGTTGGCATACGACCCCCCTCTCATCAAGTGATAGGCTGTCGAGCCCAAAGTCAGCCATAAGACTTAAGGATCAAATGAAGGAACAAGTTGACAAATTCAAGAATCAAAACCATACCACAACTTTCCAGAACCTCTTGGATGCAGCAAAAGCTTCTCTGAGGGAATTTACAGCTGTGCGGGCCTGCCAGGAAAAAGGCCAGGTGTCTCAAATGCAATCAACGATGAAGCACAGTCTAAAAACAAACCCAGAACAGTGGATACAAAGAGAATCATAAAAATCAGGATAGAGCCAGCCAGGAACTGATGGCTGCTCACCACTAATCAGAGCTACTCCAGAAGCTCAGATCTGAGGATTATGGTTCAAAGTCAGCAGAAAAGTCCACCAGGCTCATTTTCTATTTTTTTTTTATTTTTTGGGTCCTGTCGTGGAGCCTGAAGTCTAGGCCTGGGCGCTGTCCCTCAGCTCTTCAGCTCACAGCTAGTGCTCTACCACTTGAGCCACAGTGCCACTTCTGGCTTTTTTCTTTTTGCTTCTGTGGTGCTGTGGAATCGAACCCAGGGCCTCAGGCATGCATGCAAGAGCTTTAAAACTGAGCCACCTTCCCAGCCCCACAAGGCTCATTTTCAATAAACTATCCCCAGAATGTACAAAGCAGAGCTTTGGCTCAAGTGGTAACATACTAGCCTGGAGCTAAAGAAGCTTAGCAACAATGCCCAGGCCCTGAGTTCAAGCCCAAGGACAGGCACACATATAAACACTCATACACACACACACACAACACACACACATACACACACACACACACACACAAATAAGGGTAAAAATGAAAAAAAGGAGATTAAAAGAACAATGTAAAAATAAATCAGTGAAAGAAGCTGAGGCCTGGTGGCTCAAGCCAGTAATCCTAGCTACTCTGGAGGCTTCGATCTGAGGACCATGGTTCAAAGCCAGCCGAGGCAGGAAAGTCCATGAGACTCATCTCACCAGATAAGTGGAAGTGGCAACTTTGGCTCAAGTGATAGAGTGTCCACCTTGAGCTGCAAAGCTGAGGAACAGTGTCCAGGACCAGAGTTCAAGCCTCAGGACTGACAAAAAAAATCAGTAAATGTAAGAAGTTTCCTTGATAGCTAAGACAGACAAGCCTTCATCCAAGAAGAGTGAAGACATCAACTAAGAAAACTAGAATATTATAACAGTTTACATTCAAATTGTCACTGGGGAATATATTAGAAAATTAGTCCAACACATTAGAAAACATATAAGAAATGGATTCAGTCTTTGCACGTTGGACCCATCAGGTTTGATCCAAAATGACTTTAATCACCTAACTTCATCTGTAATCAAGCACTATATCAATTCACTGCTGGGTTACACCAGGTGTTCAGAATTACCACCAATGTCCCTCAGACAGGTTCAAAAACTAGGAAAGGAAGAAGGCTACCAAAATCCCTCTCATACCAAAATGAGAACAGACTAGAGACAAGATTAGACACCTATTTCCTTGAAGAGCACAGATGTAAAATATTTCATAGCATACCTGCAAGTAATTTCAACAATGAATTGAAAGATCATGCACCATGCCCACGTTGCATTCCACCCATAATTGCAAGTGTGGCTCAACCAGTCTTGGATAATTTGAAGAGTAAGACCCTGGACACCTGTGAGTCGTACCTGTCATCCTAGCTACTGAGGCTGAGATCTGAGGATCACAGTTCAAAGGCAGCCTGGGCAGAAAAGTCCAGGAGACTCTTCAATTCCCTACCAGAACACTGGAAGTGACACTAAGCTCCAAGTGATAGAGTGCTAGCCATGAGGAAAAGAGCCCAGGGACAGCTCCCAGGCCCTGAGTTCAAGCCCCACTACTGATTCCCTTCCCCCCCCCAAAAGTCATTATACCAAGGATCCATCGTAAGAAGTGAGTAATTAGGTATTTTAATGAAGTAGAAACCATGGGAAGGTAGATAGAGTCTGGCAGGGACCTGACAAGGCAAGATGTGTGCAGTGTGCAATAGTGGCCACCATCATGCCAGGACTCCGGTGTGACCCATGAACACAAGTCAGATGGTGCATGTCCTAGGGGTCAGTCACTGGTTACTCCCAGATCTGACCTGGCATGAGCGCTTCCCCCCAAAACCTCCCCAGGACTTTCTTTTTTTTAATTTAATTTTATTTTTTTGTGAACATACTGTACAGAGGGGTTACAATTACATGGGCAGGATAATGCATACATTTCTTACCAAGCATTGCAGCCTCCTCCTTTGTTTACCCTTCACATCCTTTCCCTACCTCCCCCCTACCTCCCCACCACCCAATCCTCCACCCTTCACCCCCCCCACCAACGTTGTAAAGCTAGTTTTTGACATGAACTTGTACTTCTCATTGTTGCAAACAGGTCCACCTGTATCCTTAAATGACTTGTTTTTCTCCATCTCCTCTACAAGTTATACTGACATCAAATATAGTGAAAGCAGGGGTTTTACTGTGGGGGAGGTACATACAAAGCAACAAAGAGATAATCTTATAAATGCATTAGAAACAAAAGCATGAAATAAAAAAGCATTAAAATACATATCTAAGGGTTCATTTTCCTAACATCACATTATCTGTCCTTTTCCGCTTGACTCATACATATACTAGATATTGCAAATAAGGGAAACCATGGGACCTATGTTTCTTTGGGCCTGGCTTACTTCACTTAATATAATTT